CCATGTCATTATACACATTTGTGTCCTCATAAACCATATATACCTGTACACACACACACACACACACACACGCACAATAAAAGTCTTTAAATAAGTTAAGAAAGTTAAATATGAATATTATTAGGCTTACACTGTAGGTGACATGAATAAAAGAGAGGTTTACATTTTTAATCACAATTATTTGACAAAAAATTTCAACATTTCATGATCAGCTCATATTGCAAGAAAAGCGTTGGGTGCTGATGATTAGAAAATTGCATTCACAAACTGATGGCGTGTTTTCTGATGTGTGTTTCAGCTGTGACCAGTGTGAAGTTATGGGCCATCGACAGACAGTGCTTCCAGACCATCATGATGAGGACGGGACTCATCAAACATGCAGAAAATATGGAGTTATTGAAAAGGTGAGCAGCTATCTTGTTATGGAAGTGCATCTCTTTCTTTATCATCTGACATCATAATTTGCATAATGGCACACAGAGAAGAGAGCATGGGGCATATTTTACATATTAAAGACAGAATTCTGCATTGTTGGGCTACTGAGCCAAACTGGATGAAAGAAGTCTTCATCAAAGACTTTAAAGACACTGAGGCAGAACAAATGAGTTTCTTGGAAGATTCTGAAATTCATTGCCACATAAACTCTCTATAGCTCCCGATCTCCTTCCTCTCCTCCTTTCATGATCTCTCTCTCTCTCTCTCTCTCTCTCTCTCTCTCTCTCTCTCTCTCTCTTTCTCTCTCACTTTCTCTCTTAGTCTCTGTCTTATGTATTAACATGAGAAAAATGAATAGTAATGCAATCGTTTTTAATGATCCATCTAATGTGGTTTCATCTAATGTTAATGATATTACCCCATCCCTGCTGCTGTATTTATTATTTGAATAATTAGACCTAATTTTGTCAATTATGCTTTGAACTAACAGCCGTTAACAAACAAAAGAGGAGTGCATGCGAATGCATTAGATGCTGAGTTGAACTTGTGCATTTTACTGATCTGGTTTATAGACCAATATGAAATGTAGGTTTCATATTTAGTCCTGAGCTAATCCAGAATTGGAGAGAATTATTATGAAACAATGTGCGTGTGTGATGCCATGATTTTCTGCTGATATAGGCTACTATTTATCTGTTTAGTTCTGAATGCAAAATATAATAATTTAAAATAATAATAATAAAAACATTTTATGTGTAAATAATATATTTAATATTTATAAATAATATTTTATAATATTTTTAATATTTTTTTTTCATCATGTCAGCACTAAGTTTCTCTGGTGAAAAATCAAAATCATAGTGATCAGTTTTTTTACTGAAAATTTGTTCTTGGTACAAAGCTCAAGAATAATGATGTGCTTGCCAGCAAAGGCTGTTATTATCCATTTTTGTACTAACCTTCAACCCCTTAACATTTTAAATGTAACATGATTGGCACAAATATAACATGACTGAAAGAGAAAAGTTTTGGGTTATTAATAATATATTTAAAAAAATACAAATGTGTGATTTTATTACTGGGTGAATAATCTATTCATATTACAGTACATAAATAACATATATAAATTAAAAAATATTTGTAAAAATTAATATCTGATGGCAGTGGCGGTTCGTGGGTTTTAAAATAGAGGAGGCACACTAATTGGGGAGGCTGTGCCTCCCCTGCCTCCCCTGACGAGCCGCCACTGTCTGATGGTACTTTGCAAAAGGAATAGTTCACCCAAAATTGAAAATGAGCCCATGATTTACTCACCCTCAGGGCATCTTAGACGTATCTGACATTCCTCTTTCAGACGAACACAATCGCAGTTATATTTAAAATTGTCACGGCTCTTTCAAGCTGTATAATGGCAGTGAATGGTGCCCCTGTTTTTGAAGCCAAAAAAAGTGCATCCATCCATCATAAAACTACTCCACACGGCTTCGGGCTGTTAATAAAGGCCTTATGAAACGAAACGATGCGTTAGTGTAAGAAAAATATCGATTTTTAAAAATGTATAAACTGTAATCTCCAGCTTCCAGTCGCTCAAGCAGGCGCGTTCACGACAAGGCGTTCGAGCGTATGACATAGGCGTAGCGGAAGGCGCAACGTAAGCTCCGGGGAGAGAGTGATGAACGCGGAAGCACAGAGGAGAAAGCAAAAATGTCAGAGGAGTATAATAAGTTTTTTGCCCAGCCATATTTGTTTGAACCAGAGTATACCGACCAGGAACTCCACGAGATGGAGGAGGCTGCAACAGTGGCGGCACACAGATGTACTACAGATTGGTTTCCCTGTGCTGTAAACAAAAAGGTTCTCGCGAGACTACACTCTTCTCCCCGGAGCTTACGTTACGCCTTTCGTTATGCCTACGTCATACGCTCGAACACCTTGTCTTGAACGCCTGCTTGAGCGACCGGAAGCTGGGGATTACAGTTTATAAATAAAAAAAAACCCAACATTTTTCTTACACTAACGCATCGTTTCGCTTCAGAAGGTCTTTTTTAACACCCCGAAACCATGTGGAGTAATTTTATGATGGATGCATGCACTTTTTTCGGCTTCAAAAACAGGGGCACCATTCACTGCCATTGAATGGTTTGGAAGAGCCAGGACAATTTTTAATATTGGGGGGGGGGGGGATGAT